AACACAAACCCTTCCACTTCTATGGGCTAGTTCTGGAAAGCCAAGTTTATCTGCAGAATGCATCAGTCCGATTCCTGCTTGAGCGACCCATTGCCCACAATCATTTTGCTATAATTCTTCTGCTGCTCCTCCTTGAAGGTGTCCTTCACCTTTGCTCTCTTCAGCCCACCATCCCTGGAAATGGAAAGGTGAATATGTAAAAGATACTCCCCAGCAATGACATGAAATGTCTAAATGTTAATACATTCCAAGTGATGCCATGACACTAAAGCAGCTGGTCAACAAGGGGACAAAGAGCCCTAGGAAGCAGGAAAACCCAGATTTCAGCCTCTACTCTAAGCTTACCAGATCTATGTTACTTTGATGAAGGAACAATCTCTCTGACACTTTTTAAAAGTCAGGGCTGCTGTATTCAATATTTGAATTGAAACAAGGATTATTACAACTAGAATGCTTCCCTATATTTTTCCCTAAGGAAAACAAACATTGGTTTTTTTAATCTACTTGTGTCTTGCTGGGAAACCATATGAAAATATTTCAATATACACACAAGAAATGGGGAGGGTAGTGTATATGCATAGGTAAGTTACAAGTGTGGGTAAATTCCTTAAAAATAAACAGATTAACCATTATTCAAATCTAACCTTATATTGATCAATGTGTATTTTGTTTTGTTTGAGTCAGGATCTCACTATATAACCCATACTGGTCTTGAACTTTTAATCCTTCTGCCTCAGCCTCCCAAGTGCTGGGATTACAGGCATGTGCCAGCACATCCAACTACCAACAAGTTGTATTTTTACTCAAAGCACTGTATTTTCCAGTATTTATATTCTTCCACCTTCCAAAACAGACTAAGGATAAAACAGTTAGCAAAATCATAATTTGCATTTGACCAGAAGTTAGTACCTAAGTAAACAACATTCCTTCATTCAGAGTCTGTGACCTTTTGAACTCTCTCCAGGGTGGTGAAATGCAGACCTGTCTGGGTTAAAAGGACTCTGAGTGCCTTTCCTTCTTTGGACTGCAAGAGGAAACAACAGATGAAGAACTGGAGGAGAATGGGCAACAAGTGCTGCTCTCTCTCCCTGCTAGTCTAACATTTTAGATCTTAACTCCTACAAGTATGGACTGAGAACTTGCTTACTTTATGCTGTGATTGTTTAACTTTAACCCAGTTAAGCATGAAGGTTTACCAAGTGTTTTCTGATGGTGATGAATGATCACAGGTTAGCCAGTGAACTCAAAGCCAAGGAACAGAACTTGACCTCCACACGACAGCTGCCTGAGGCCAATGCAATATTCAGGCTTGTGAGTCAAACCTAAAACACAGCCCTCCAGTAAATCCTAAACTTAAACATGGACCATTGTCCACAAATGATCCGAGGATTAGTGTGGGAAGTTCATGAAATAAGAGTGTACATTGTGATTAAGACCTCAGAATTGTCTACATAAGCCTATTTCATACAAGTGAGCTGCCTCTAATTATTTACAGAATTTACATGAATTCTGAACAGTGAAAACTAAACAAGGGAAGACATGAAAATAAAAGTCTTTCTCCTTTCAGGAGATCCAGGCCAAAAATAGGCAAAATAAAAAGTTAGCAATGTTTGACTTTCAGCAACCTAACGTTATTTTTATTTATTCATTCATTCATTTATTGATTTCTTCAGCTATTCTTTTTTGGCAGTGCAAGGGGATAAACTTTGGACCTCAAGATTGCTAGGCAAGTGCTCTACCAATGCCATGCCTCCAGTCTTAACATTATTTTTATTCAGTTCTCCTTCCTGAGCACCCGGTAAACCTCTCCCTACTATACAAATCCCAACTGAGACTTGTCACCTCTAGAGAACTGGAAGTTTTACCCACTTCCCTTTTCAATGGCATCAGATTTTAGTTCTTTCAACAGGCAGCAGCCACACACCAGAGCCAGTTTAAGATCATACAGGAGTTTTCATGTCATCCACAAGAAAATCAGGCCAGATGTGCTGATTCATATCCAATAAACAGGTGACAAGTACATTGGAAAAGGCAGTGAGCATATTTTCTTTTTTAAAAGAGGACAGTTAATAAAAGTAATGTTTTATTATAAAATGGGATATAGCCTGATGGAAGGAAACGGAAAAAGTCTTCAGATCATTTTTGACAGTCTTAGTTAAACTAATCTGATGGTGAGATTGCCCTATGGCTGACTCCCTGAGGCTGCCTGTGTCTCTCAAGGTTTTCTTCCTTTCAAAGTCAGAAAATCCAAAGGGTTAAGCCTCTCATAATGACCTCAGAATAAGAGCAAGAGGGCTGGGATGCCAGGTAAGAGGGAGGGTTGGAAAGGACTGTAATAACAAATAGAAAAAAAACAAAAAAAAACACAAGAAGAAAAAGCCAGTTACCCGTATAAACATAGATCATTAAGACATTTCTAGACTGAGGGAAGTCTGTAATTTTATGATGTTATGAGGTCTGTAATTTAGTTTAACATTTCCAGGTTAGAGAGTATATTACAAATGTTCATCTTAACCTGTATCATAGGACAAATCAGTTGTCTTAAGTCAAAAACCGATACTGTCAGGGGTGTCAGCCAGCATTTAATCGGAAGATCACCTTTCAGAGATGCCATTACAGGGCTACCTTCATCACTCATCAATTTCCAAAGCTTTGTTAGTTAACATAACGAATTTTAAAAATGGCTTTTCATTATAAAAATTAGTGACTTGTTACTAACAATAGCACAATGGATGTCAGGCTTTCCTGGGGTAAAACTAACTATATTCAAGATAGGTGAACAGGTAAAATATTTTAGTGATATGCCCACTCTTGAACAAAGAAGTCTAAGATTCCAGTCAGCCCTTTCTCTAAAGGCTCACTTCCTAAATAATCCTGGGCCCCTCTACCACGTTTCTGAGAGTTCTGGTTACCTGCTAACTCTGTTAATCAAATCCTAGAATTCCATTACAATTGCCTACAAAAGGAAATGAACTTTTTGGTGTTTTTGAAACACTAAAAAAGGCATCAAGGACTTTATTGAATTTAAATACAGACTATCTGGTGAGAGCTTACTAATGTATTTGTAAGAATTTGGTCTCCCATTACAAGGTAGGCGTATTTAACCCTCACTGTTTTTTCATTTTGTTTTTTTCTTTCTAATCCTCACTGTTAAACTGAATGTGTCTCTTCCTCCCAGATTTATATATTGAAGCCCTAACTTCCAATGTGATGGTATTTTGAGGTGAACTTTGGATGCGGTCTTAAGGACAGGGCCTTCATAATGGGATCGGTATCCTTACAAGAAGAGACACTAAGGGCTGGAGTGTGGTTCAAGTGGTACAGCACCCACCTAGCAAGCATAAGGCCTTAAGTTCAAACCTAGTCCCACCAATAAATAAATAGAGAGAAAGAGAGACACTAAGAGCTTGTTCTCTCTGTCCACGCTTCCAGAAAGAACAGGTGATGGGAGTCATTGGAAAAGCCTTTTGTGGCACAAGGGGAAAGCCCTCCCAGAAATTGACTCTGTGGGGCTCAAAGATGGATCAAGTGGTAGAGTGCCTTCTTAGCAAATCCAAGGCCCTGAGTTCAATTCCCAGTGCCAGAAAAACAAAAAACACACTATTTTTCTGGGCATATTGGTACACACCTATAATCCCAGCTACTTGAGAGGCACAGAAAGGAGGATCACAGTTCATGGCCAGTCTGGGTTAAAAGTTAGCAAGTCCCTGTCTCAAAAACAAGTTGTGTGTGGTTGTGTGTGCCTGTGCTCCTAGTAGGCAGGAGGTAGGAGGATTGTGGTCCAAGGCTGGCTGGGACAAAATTAGCTAAGACCTTACCTGAAAAACAAACTAAAAGCAAAAAGGACTGGAGGTGTGTCTAAGTGTTTAGGAAGCACTGAGCTGAATCTCAGAGCACTCCAAAAAAAAAAAAAAAAGAAGAGGAAAGAAAGAAAGAAATTGGTCATGTAGATATAGCACCCTAATCTCTAAGTTCTAGACTACAGAACTGTGAGAAAATAAATTTTTTCGCTTAAGACACCAAGTCTATGGTATTGTGTTATGGCAGGCCAAGCTGGCTAATACACTCATGTCTAATCTTCCTCAAACAACAAACGATGAAAGCCATAATTAACCATGACTAAAATATTGGTTTCCTTTCAAGTGTTTAAGTTTTCTTTAATATAATTACAGCTATAGCTAAATATGAGTAACCCATGTCCTAATGTCCTATTCCTAAAGCCACTCTCCCTTTCTTCTTTAGTAAAAGAACTCCAAATTTTAGTGAAAGACATGGCCATCCAATCAAAAACTACAATTCCCAACTTCTTTTGCAGCTGGGTGTTATCACATGAATTTGAACACTAGCCAATGGAGAGAAGTGTAAAATGCATGTCCAGTTTCCAGGGTGTGCTCTTAAAGAGATGAGAGTGTCCTCTTTAAAATTCCTTCCTGCTCCAGGAATGGGGGAGGGAAGATAAAGCAGAAGGATGGAGGAGGGTAAATTCAACTACCATATATTATAGGAACTTTGGTAAATGTCACCATGTATCCCTAGTACAACAATAATTTTGGAAAAAGGAAATTAAAAAATACAGACTGAGTTGTTATACCAGCCTAGGCTTCCCATGTTTAAGTGAAAGAGACAAACTTCTTATTCAAGCCCCTGTTAGTTTGTATAAACCACTACGAGCTTTGGCTAAGCCTATAGCTAGCTAACATAATAAATCACATTATTAATAGTGATTTTTTTATTATTATTAAAAAAATAGCTCTTCTGAAAAGTTTCTTACCAGGGAAGTTCAGTTAATCCTCCTTGCACTGCAATAGCAGATTTAACCCTGTTAGCAAACTGAACTGCATCTTCTCCTTCCTGGTTAAAAAAAAAAAAAAAGTGCATATCTTGAGTATAGAATTCTTAACACCATAAAATATCTCATAATCAAAAGTTATTTTAAAATATAAGATTCACATTTTAAATAATACCTTAAAAATCTCATAAGCATTAATAATTATTTTAAATATATGACTCACATTTTAGCTCAAATACTTTCTGTTCTCAGTCAATCATCACAAATACCATTTGTTCTATTGAGAAAATGCATGGGCTCAAGGAGTGGCTCAAGGGCAGAGCACCTGCCTACAAAGCACGAGGACCTGAGTTCAACTCCTGGTATCACCAAAAAAGAAAATGCAGTGCTATGCCAATTTTTTTTTAATCATGTGCACATCTTTATTAGTCAAACCCAAGATACAACATTCCATGATCTCTGTAGGTTCAGTAAACCAACAGAAATTACAAAAGCATTATGGAAAAGGTCTCTAAATATAAAATGCCTTGATTTGAAGAACACTAAATGCATTATGAAGAAACAATTTATTTGCTGAAAAGGCAGAAAGGCATGATGTGACAAAGAGCGACACCCAGATTTTTAGGTAAAGGTTTTCTTTACTTTGATTAGACAAAGCAACAAAGACCAGGTGCTATTGAAAGGATACCTCTTTGGTCATGGGGGGCATGTACCACACATCACAGACGATAGCCCAGCTGGTCATCACTCGAAGCAAGTAGCTCACCATGTTGTATTTACTACTGTTCCAAAATGCATCACCAAACTGGGGGTTATACTAGAAAAGAAAAGGAAACACGTCCCAATTAGGAGCTAGGTGGTAGCTTCAGTTAGCCATGTCAGTGTTTATGGGGTAGCCAACTAAGTAGCTTTATCAGACCTCAAGAGATGTTACTTTCCTTATAGAATTCATCACAAAATGTATTGGAGCCAAGTGCTTATCTAAACAAAGCCCCAGAGTGCTACAATTAGTTATTTACATGACTAGTAAGTATTTATCTCCATACTTCACTGGAACCAGGAAGTCAATGAAAGTGGGGACATTATCTGGTTTGCTTATCTCTATGTCCTTAGAATTTAACACAACCTCTGTCACACAGTGACCCAGTACATATGAGAAAGAGAGAGAGAGAGAGAGAGAATACAAATGGGGCAAAATGTAAAGAACTGGTGAATCTGAGCAGAGTGCATAATTGTTGCTCATTCTTGCAAACGTTAAACTCCTAATTATATCAAAATTAAGTTACCAATCAATGTCACCACCGCTCCTTTTTTTCCAAATTTGTTTTACCTTCATTGCAACTGGGTATATGGTTCCTCCGATTTCAAAGCTTCCCTTTTTAAACATCATGACTGAAGTATTGTTGATGCAAGTTCCTGTAGGGGACAGAAGTAGGGAAGTAAGTCATCTTTTAAACAAATTTAAAAATGAATTTCTTTTATATAAAACAATTTAAGATATCAAAATTGCAGACATTTTTCTACCACTTCACAAGTCAATCCCTACTTAAGAAATATCTCAATAGCTCTAAGTGGGTTTAATATAAACTTTTACTTTACTATTAAACACTATGGGTTCAGTTTCTTCACAATAGTTGACAATTTTGATATAGTTAAAATACCATCCTTAAAAAGTCATAGACCTTCCTAATATCACTGCCCTAAATCAAAAAGGTACGATGGCTTCATCAACTCTCAACAGAAAGCAGGAAATTAATAGCTCACAACCCATTCCTACAGGACAGCAGAGATCTGGCTGAGACTACCAAGTCTAGGGCAACTGTATTCTTCATATACTTCTGATGGTTCATTGTTTTCAACTACAGCTTGGAAGTCAGTCTCCATTCTTACCTTCAGGAAAGATTAATATGGGTAACTTTTTTCTATCAGCAATATGTTCTTTCAATCTGTGAAGAAAAATAAAGAATAAAAATTCTACCTTTAAAAAGAAAGAATTGGGAGTTCTTTTTGGTATTCTGCATATTCTACTAGCACAAATATAACTGCAATGAAATAAGGAGAAAAGAAGTAAGAGACAAATAAAGGAAATAAACTCAGCTGTTCCCTTTCTTAAAAAGTAGAAGAAGGTCTGCAATATTTCAATTTCTCTAATTCCATAGTGAGTGATTTTCTGGGCTTTCTTCTACTTGTTTCTTTTTTATTTTGCTTTGTTCAGTACTGGGTATTAAACTCAGGGCCTCCCTGTTGCTAGGCAAAGGCTCTACCATTTCAACCATGGCCCCTAGTCCATGTCTACTCTTAACTTCCAGATAGACATGTGACATGAGCTCTGTGTCCTTCTCCATGTACTTATATTTCCTCATCTAAAAAGTAAGAATATTGGTCATTCTGGGCCTATCTGCATTATGGTCATTAAGTGGGAGACTTCTTAAATAAGTTAGGCTGAACTTTCCTATGAAATAACAAACCGTAAGTTGGGTATGGTGGTGCACACATGTAATTCCAGCTACTTGGGATGCTGAGGCAGGAAGAACTGTGAGTTCTTGGCTACACTGGACTATGTAGTGAGTCCTTGTCTCAAGAAGAAAAGTAAAAGAACACACCATAAATCTGAGAAAGCCTGATGTTCTTCCAGGTTTAGGGTGTATCCTTGCAGTCAGCCCCATACTCTCAGCTCTGCTTACCAACAGTTGGTAAGGACTGAGGTAAAGAGATGGCAGCTGCCAGTGTCCCATTGCTAAGCAATCTCTTCCAACCTGAAGCAGATTTTAGCATCATTCAAGAGCACAGGCCACCTTTGCATTCATACAAGCAACAACCACAGTGCATTCAGTTAAAGTCATCAAGCAAAAAGCTGTTTCCTTGCAAAAGTTCCTAGTAGCTCATCTCCACATCAAACCCCAGTTCCTTCTCCTCTACTCCCATACAGATCTGTTAGTTTGGCTAAGTGTCCCCCAAAGGCTTAGTGTTAGAGGCTTGGCTGCCAGCCTGTGGTACTACTGGGAAGCAGTGGAACCTTAGGAGGTAGGGACTAGGGAAAGAAGTTAGGTCACTGGAGGACTGCCCTGGAAGGGAATATTGGGACCCTGGTCCCTCCACTCTGTCTTGCTTCCTGGCCACCAAGAAGTACACTGACCTCCTCTGCCATGCCACAAGGTACTGTGCTACCACAGGCCCAAAGCACGAGAGCCAAGTGACCAAGGACGAAACTTCTGAAACCATGAGCCAAAGTTGACATTTCCCCTCATTAAATTGATTGTCTCATGTGTTTTTGTCCCAGTGACAGAAAGCTAACGTAAGATCATTATCTGTATCTGTCCTGGGCTTAAGTGGTATGGTCATTCAGCTAACAATCAAATATTTATTCAAGAAACATTACCAACTTTCAAGATGGTAACTGGACTGACTATACCTAAGTCACAGCAAGAGAGACATGAGGCTTCAGATCCCATCATATATCCCATTATAACTACACATTTTCTTTCTGATCCTGCTAAATATGACTCACCAGAAAAATCTAACTGCAAACAGAGCTCTGTATATTTTAGTTTTGATCTGTAATGAAGTTCTGGCCTCTTTGGCCAGAAGCCCCAAATTGCTTAGCTTTTCTGTTACCGCTGTGACTACTGAGTAATTTCACTGCTTACCTCTTCGTAACCAGGTGTCGATCCTTCATTTCTGAGCGTTCGAACCAGACATGTGGACAAGCCTTGACCATAGCTCTCTGGAGAATTCCCATCAATCCACCATGAACCTGGCCAACCTAGAAGCACCATGAAAAAGGAGAAACATGTAACGACACAGCTATCCAAAGAAAGAGTTTTGTTTTTAAGTATCAATAAATTCCTATTCCCCATCAGAGATAATATTGGCTGCTTTTTACTGACTGAAGTTCTAAGTCTGATCAAAGGACTTGAAAGGTCAAATGTAAACAGAAAGTATTCTTTATTTAGAGTACATTTGAACATTAAGTTCTGTTTCTACACTACACAGCTTTAAAAAGTGGAGGTCCTCAGCCAAGTATGGTGGTGGTACCTGCTTTTGATCCCAGCACTTGAGATACTGAGGCTGGAGGATCAAGAGTTCAAGACCAGCCTGGGCTACATAGTGAGACCCTGAAAACAAAGAAAGAAAGGAGGAAGGAATGAACGAAGGAGGGAGGGAAAAAGTAGATCTTCCAATTAATCAAGATAACAAAAATGCAAATTAAAACTATACTGAAATACTGAAATGCCATTTCAAACTCATCAGATTGGCAAGGATTTAACAGCTTGCTAACACACTCTAATGGGAAGCAGGCACATTCACATCTTGCTTGTAAGAAAAGATAAGAAATTTGGCAAAATTCTCAAGATTACATGTTCAAAAAATTTTTTAAAGATTACATATTCAATTATTCATTTCAGTAATTCAGGGAAGTTGGGGGTGTGGCTCAGGAGACAGAACACCTGTCTAGTAAGTGCAACACCCTGAGTTCAAACCCCAGTAACACCATAAAAAAAAATCTCAAATCAATAATTCAGGAATTTAGCCTGAAGATATACCTTCAACAAAATGAAAATACATATGTACAATATTATTAATTACAGCATTACTTATTGTAAAATATAGGAAACTATCTAAATATCTAAATATAGAAAAATGGATTGATAAATAATGGTACCTATATACGATGGAGTACTATACAGCTGGAAAAGGGACAAGGTTGATCTCTATCACTCTACCAAGGAATGATTTCCAGCTAACAGAGTTAAAAGAAAAAGGCAAAAGAACAAATAAGGACTGGAGATGTGGCTCAAGCCGTAGAGCACTTGCTAAGTTCAAACCTCTGCACTACCAATAAAGAACAAATAAGCGTGTTACCTTTTGGATAAGACTAAAGGATAAATAATATACTTGAACTTGTTTATCCCTATAAAAAGAAGTAAGAAAGGATAACCAAAGCAATGAGGTTGAGAACCTACAAGGGTAGGAAGAAATGTGATAGAACACATGGAAAGGAGTGACACTATTTTTTTTTTCTTTTTGTGATACTGGGGGTTGAACTCAGGACCTTGTGTTTGCTAGGTAGGCTCTCCTACTGACTGAGCCACTACACTAGCCTGTTTTGTGTTAGTTATTTTTAAGACAGGGTCTTGCTTTATGACTGGGCTGGCCCGTAGCACAACCCTCCTATTTGTGCTTCCCTGTGTAGCTTGGAATGACAGGCATGCACCATCACTCCCAGTCATTGGTTGAGATGGGGGTCTCAAGATTTTTTTTTGCCTGAGCTGGCCTTGAACTGTGATCCTCCTGAGATCTGCCTCCCAAAGAGCTAGTATTACAGGCTTGAGCCATCACACCTGGCCCGGGAGTGACTCTTCTATGTGTATACCTTTTTATTTCATTTTGACAGCTCGAAGAAGGTTCATGTCCTATATACTCAAAACAGTAAAATTAAATCAACACAGACAGGATTAACAAACTGAGAGCAAACTGAAGCAAATGAATCCCCTGTGTCTTGAGTGTATTAAAAAAAGAAAAAAAAACTTAGGTTTAAGGAAGGGAGAAGAACCCAAGAAACTTACAAAGTCTGTATTTGACTACATACCCTCCATCTCAGGTCAAGCAGCAAGAACTACAAAATATCCTGAACTCTTTTTATTACATTTGGGTTTTTTGTATTAAACAGGTAAAGAAATTAACCTTTATTAACCAGGTGAATACAGCTTTGGATGTATTATAGGATTGAGAAAATGAGGAAATATGTTGATATTATTGAGAAATAGGGTTTCACTATAAACAAAAGGTGACTCAAAAATTGACTGAGGGGAAGCAAGAAAGAAGCCTGTAAACTGAATGTGTTGGTATAGATTCAGATTTCCAATATAAATATTAGAAATAAATATTAAAATATAAACATTTTGTACACATGTTTATGCAGACAGACAGACAGAAAGAAAGCCAGGACATGAAAACGTAAGTGATGAAGTACATGAGGCAATGTGTTACCAACAGGTAAATGCGGGTAAAGGGTGTCCCATGTAATCTTAGTATTACAGCTTTTCTATAAGCTTGAAAATATTTTGAAGTTAAAAAAGTAGACGTCTTCCTCCAAGATGAAAAAAAGATGTTTAAAAAAATCATTAAGTGAAGTAATGTGTATGTTAGTTAGTTTGATTTCACCATTCCACAATTATATATATTTATGAAACATGCTGCACACTATAAATATATACAATTTTTATTTATCAATTAAAAATAAAGTCATTTTTTTAAAAAAAGCCAATGGGAGGAAATCCTTAATATTTTTTAGATGTAGAGTTTATGTTTAGCCAAAAAAGAGGCCAATGGTAACGTTGGTAGGTCAGCAGTTCTTCTTTCTGTACTGCCTTGTACCACCTCCAATTCAAATCTGATTGTTTTAGGTTTCTAGCACTAACCCATTGGACAGTTGATGTTACCTTATGTGAATAAACCTTGGCTAAAAATGTCACTGCAGTTACATGATCAAAAAGCATGGAAAAAGCCAACAAAAGTCTGATCCCCTCAGTCTGTGTCCCCCAAGACACAGAAGAAATATGGTATAGTCTCAGGAATACAAAATTATTAAGCAGTGCAATGGTTTGTGTCCTCAGAATTCATATATCCAAAACTTAGTCCCTAACGCAAAAGCACTGGGCATTAGGGCTAAATGAGAAGTGTTTAGGTCATGAGGGCTGGGCCATTATAAAAAGGGTTTCGGGAGCAAGTTCACTATCCACATTCTTGCCCTTCCACCATGTGATGACACAGAAATAGAGCTTTCACCAGATACCTTGATTCTGGACTTCCCAGCCTCCAGTGCACCAATAACTTTCTGTTCATTATACATCACCAGTATCTGATACTGTTTAGCAGCGTAAAACAGTCTGAGATAGGAGGCTGATTGCCTGAGCCTCTGTCTCCTCATGCAATAAAATCTTAGTCCTAACCTCATAAGGTTACAGGGAAGGTTATATATAATACATGTGAAAGTAGCTGTCCACATAAACAAAAGGCTTATTACACATACCCAGAACCCAGCTGTTCACATAAACAAAAGGTTTATTACACAGCAAGGTCTGCTGAGGGATGTTAACATGAGAATCCTTGGCCAGGCTTTAGGAGCCACAAACACTGAAATTACACAAGAAATCATGTTTGTATGGATGCACATGTATATTGTTTTTTGGTTGGTTGTGTGTGTGTGGTGGTTGTGTGTGTGTGGTTGTGTGGTGGTGGTACTGGGGGTTGCAATTGCTAGGTAGGCGCTGTAACACATGAGAAATGTCCTAGCCCTTTTTGCTTTGGTTATTTTGGGGATAGGGTAAAACTTTATGCCTGGCCTGGCCTGGACCAGATGTGTTAAAACATAGCTGCCCAAGAATTATACCTCTGAACTTATATTTTAGACAGCCTAAACACACAACAATAAGAAGAAATTTTTACAAAGGCCTTCATGCCCCTCACTGATAATATAGCCCACAGACTGTCAAGTACTGGAGCACCCCACAGTCGCCCACCTGCAGCAGACTTAATTAGTAAGGGTTTTCTTCAAATACCTTCCCATGAAAGCCCACCAAACCATCACCACCAGTCACAAGGGCTGATAAATGAAATAAAACCCATCTGCTCTCCCCAAAGCCCAACCCACTACCATGAGACCATGAAAAGATCCCCCAGGAACACCTATTCAGTCACTCTATTCCACACACCAACTTAGGATGCATTTAACCACCATGCAGGAGAGGATATCTTCCATTATTGTCTGAAATTCACCTGATACATGGAGGAGGTATAGGAAATCTTGACAAATTTATAAGGGCAATAGAAAACAAAAGATTTGGGAAAATGCCAAAATGTGTTTCGTGCCCATGAAAGGGTATTTCAAAGCGTGGTTTTAATATGGGCTTTATGGTTAATTGTTAGGTTTTGTTCTCTTTTCTTTTCTTTTGAGACTGTGGACAAAAATCCAAGAAACATAATATGATACAAATATTTTCATTTCTTGCTAGATCCTCATTAAAGAGACAGATTGTTTTTAATTATACATATCTCCCTGAAGGAAGAGAGAACAAATTGTCTGGCTGGACAATTTGTGCAACTCTAAGGAGGAAGATTCTAACGGTGTAAAGTGTAATTAAACTTAGCAGGGATTTTGAAAGCAAAATGTAATCAACTTTATAGAGTCCTATCAAGGTCAACTATGTCTACACTTCAGCAGTTAATTTCTTACCACCTTAAATGTCATGGCTATTTTCTTTTGTCTTCTTGAAATACTTATTCCTTATATAAATATATTATATAACCCATATAGGTACTATCATATAATCCAGTGAAATTTCTAATATGAAACTAACTTCCTAATTTGCCAAAATAAATTAAAATTTTGAGCAATCCATAAAGTACACAATTATTTAAAATATCAATAAGCTGTTCTTACCATAGCATAACACCCATCCGTGGTCAAGATCAAAACATCTATGGGAGATGTGTGATTGGCCACACAAATGCCTCCCTTCTGGGGTCTATACTGCCTGCAATTATAAACAACAGTAAATATTAAACCTCAAGAAACAGTCACTATTTTGCGGAACAGTATAAAGACTCATCTTGTTGTAAGTATACATTTTTTAAAAGTTTGGAGGTATATGGACCCATTTTTAAAAGCTGATACCTATGCAGAATTATGAGAGTTGGGTAAGAGGCCTATGACTTCCCCTCTATAACTCATATGTATGCTTATATAATCTTAACTACTTTGATATTATTTTGATCTTCATAAGTATCACTTTTGGTGCCTTCGTGGTGATTCACAGAGTAAATTTCCCATCATTTCCTCCTTCTTATCCACTAGAACACTGTCAACAAGGCAAGCTTTTCCTATCAAAGACCAGTTAATAAATACTTTAGCCTCTGCAGACCAGACAGTCCCTGTCGCAACTCTGGACTCTACTGTTATGGCACAAAGGCAGCTATAGATAGCATGCAAATGAGTAAGTATGGCTGTGCTCCAGTAAAACTTCATTTATATTAAAAACAAAACAAAACCAGATGGAGGGCCAGATTTGGCCTACACACCCATAGTTTTTGTTTGTCCATCTCTTGCTTGACACCAATAAAGCAAAGAAGTTTTGCTTGGACCTATGCAGAGAATAATGACTTTCTCTTTTCCTTAAAAATAGACACATTTCTGTAATGAGTAGTGAACTCTACCTCATTAAAGCACCTTTTCTACAGCAGGAGTAACCTCTGATCACACTCCTACCAGACCTTCTTCTACAACTCATCTCAAAACTCATAGTCCAATCCCCAAATCATATAATTTAAAATCTTAAGAGGCTTTTTTTATTGGCCTTTTATATTAGTAAAGCCAAATGACAAAAATAAGACAGAAAGCCCAATCATAAAAAAGAGACCACTTTCTAGAACTTTTAAAACAGTGCTATTTTTAAAATTGATATTATAGAAAAGTAATTCAAAGCAGTCAAAGTTCTTTTCATTTAGCTAATGACCTTCCTTGGCTACCTTGATTCTCTGGTTGGGGTGAGGGGAGAAAAATGCAATATTTTGTTTTAAGGATCAAGTATAGAATTTTTAGAAGTAGTGAAGACTGAGACAGGAATGCAGGCCTCCAGACTCTACCACACCACAGGCCTGTCAGATTTGCCAGTTTTACAACAGACAGACCAAGCTCAAAACCTGACTTTGAAACTTACTTGCTCTTAGAACCTAAACAATCAGACCTAGTGTTCCCATTTCTTCATCTGTAAAATGGGAAACAGCACCCATCCCACAGGAATGACCTAGAGGAACACAAGGCCTGCACACTGTAAGTACCCAATTACGAAGTGCTGCTGCACGTTTATTCTTACATTCTACATGATATTGCATGCTGTCATGCCCATAACACTTGCAGGAACAGGGATGAACACACTGCAAGTGTTCTTCTCCAGCTGCGGCCTCCCACCCACCTTCCATGCTCTTGTGATTCCCCTGCTGCCTCTACCTCCAGAAGGGCAGGCACAAAGCCAGCATACACTTACTTGTTATGATAATGAATGGTGCCAGAGAGGGATCGCACACAGATGCGGCAGCAAGTCAGGTGCACCATTTCACTCAGCCAGTTTTTGACGCTGAAGGAAAAAGTAATCATTTTATTGTGCTTTTCTGGGCATTCCTAAGAAACAACCCAAAAGAAGCTTTAATGTACTTGCTCAAAACAGCATCCTCTGTTCTATTCTATTGAACAAGCACAGTTCAATTTCCACAGTCTCACCAATGCATTTGGCATTAAATAGCAAAAATTTACCAAGAGAATTGGACAAATCTCTGATGAAAAATAGCTCCTACCCTCCTAGATAATGATAAATTCCTGACCAAGAAAAACAAGCTTCTTTGGTCTCAGCCTTCTGAGCTTGTCAATATATGTCTCTCTTTCCTTCCTAAGAGCTTCTTGGCCTATTTTCTTTCTTCCCTTCATTTCTCCTTTGAAAAAATAACTTCTTCCAATTCATATGGAAGTATGGTAGAAAATCAAATTAAGATTATAAAGATGAAGTGAGAAGAATTCTAATAAGTGGGTTGAGACCATACATTTAATGCAATCTGTAAGAACTAAACCAATACTAGGATAATCCTATTTATGGCTGGATAGAAGAAAACATTTCACCTGCTGTCTGGTAGCTGCCCAACCAGTGTAGTTCCTATAATCATCAAACTGATCCCAATGAAAGCCAGGGTAACCCTGCAAAAAGAAAAGGTTCATAAATAATGAAACTATAAATAAGTTTTCAAGCACATGAGGGAATATTATCCAGCTATTAAAAGACTTGGTACTATAGATTCTGACATGATTGTATAGAATGTTCCATGATACTTGAGAGGAAAAAAAGCAAAGTTTCAAAATTAATTATATAGAGCATGATATCATTTTCAAAGTAACAAGCACATATGTGAAACAAGTCTGTATATGCATAGAGAAGGCCTGGAAATCTGTTCAGAAAACTGTCAAGTTCAATCCATGTAATCATCCAAGGGCTAAAAGAGCTAATGAAGGGAGTATATTGAAAGGCTTTTTCATAGTAAGGACAACAAAATATTTCTCCATGTAGGAATCCTTTACTGCAAATCTTTCTTTTGTTCCTTTGTATGGTTCAAGATAGCTCAGAAGTTAACAAACAAGGTGACTTATATCCATATAGACATTTTCTTATTTTATTAGTGTTTTTAATACACTTTCCAATCACTTTACAAGAAGAAGTCATTTTTAGAATATAAACAGAATTTTTTTAAAGTTGAGATTTAGAATCCTTCTAAATAAATAGGACTTAGATAGAAGGGAAGGGAAAATGAACAGCCTAATCACATTTTATTGATAAGATTCTTTTTGAGTTTCTTAAAACTATTTTGAGAAAGGAGAAACTTTAGATTATCTCATTGCCTGCTCACATCCAGCCAGAGGCCTACCTGTGTCCTCTTTCTCAAAAGGACCTCTCCATGTTTTGCTGAATGCATGGAGTTACAGTAAACCACTAAATCACAAGGACCCTGTGGGTCTGGGGAAGCTACACTGGCTGCCTGTGGTCAATAGTCAGGAACAGGAACCTCTCCAGGGTCAAGCTGGTTGATACCTGATATGTCTGTTATCTTTACCTCTTGACTAGATGTTGAGAGCACAAAACAGTTTATCTTAACCTATCTCAGGTTGTATATTACAAGACGCTAAAACAGCAGCTAACACTATGTGCCAGGCAATAGTCTAAGTACTCTTCATATATAATGCATTTAAACATCCCAAAAGCTGTCGGAGGCAATCATATTTTCGACATCTTCATTCTACAGATGAAGAAATTGAGGCATAGAAAGGTTAAATAACTCATACAAGGTTACAAAGCCAGTAAGAAGCAGAGGCAGAATTTGAATCCAGGATTCAGGCTCCAGAATCCATGCTCTTAGTCATTATGGTAGGTTATTATTATTTAACGCAGTTGTTTAGGATTATTTAATATAGAAAAATAGCTTAAGACAGTGGTGTCAACCTAGCAATGTACTCTCAAAATGCCTCCCAAAGACCCACATGCTAATGGCATGGTCACCAGCCTGTGGCACTACTGGGAGAATCTTTAAGAGGTGGGGATAGTAGAAGGAAGTGCTACCATTGAGGTGGACCTAAAGTGGATATTGTGACCCCAACTCCTTCCCAACCAGCATGTGATGAGTAGCTTTGCTCCACCACGCACTCCCCACCATTATGTTCTGCCTCACCACAGGCCCAAAAGCAATAAGGCAGATGATAAGGACAAGAAATCTCAAACTGTGAGCCAAAATAAACTTTTCCTCCTTGTAACTTGCTTATCTCAGGTATTTTATCACAGCAATGGAAAGCTAACACAACAATGTATACTGACTGCTGTACTGATATCACGTACATTATAAAACATCTGAAAACGCAATGAATGTAAAAGATGAAAAAATATTGTGCAAAAATTTTTAAATATAGTATTTTAAAAGCATATACAAGGACTGGAGGCGACAAGTGAGAAACCCTGAGTTCAACCCCAGTACTGCCAAAAATAAAAGCATGTACATTGATACTGAAAAAAATTGCCATCATTCAAACCTCAGTCAAAATATAATTAATAGCCAAGCGCCAGTGGCTCACACCTGTAATCCTAGTTACTCAGGAAGCAGAGATCAGGATGATTGCAGTTCAAAGCCAGCCCAGGCAAAGTTTGCAAAACCTTATCTCGAAAAACAAAAATCACAAAAGAAGGGCTGGTGGAGTGGCTCAGGGTGTACCCCTGAGCTCAAATTCCAACCCACAAAATATATCTATATAATTAATAATATTTATTATCCAGGAGTAATAATGTACACCTATAAGCCCAGAATTCAGAAGGGTGAGGCAGGAGATTCATGAGTTGGAGGCTACATAGTAAGGCCCTGTCTCCATATAATTATTAGATCATATTATTTTGTTTATATCATATATAGTATTATATATTTTACTTATATATTATTTATAATTAATATTTTGAGTGACAGGATAGCCTTTTGAATATGTTTCCCTATTAATAGCTTACAATATTAAATCAAGTCTTGGTTTAACATCTTTTAATTGGTATCTCTAGGTGCCATATTTTCATATCAGCCACTGATGTAGTAACTAAATCTTTCTTTAATATTATCCATCAATTATACAAAAGTTTTCAAATAATGAGAATCACTTGTTTGTACACATTAAATTAGGATGGGTACTATTATAATGTGTTTAGCAATTAAGTAAAAACTCTTGGAACTTTTTATTTGGTACATTAACAGGCCAGAAAATTTTATTTCCCAGTTAAAATGAACCAACATGAGAGTTCTCATTGATAAAAGAGTTTTATTAAAATACAGTTCGCATGCCATATAATTCACCAATTTAAAGTATTCAATTCTATGGTTTCAGACTTGTGCAACAAGCACCACAATTAATTTTGGCACAATCTGTTTTTGAAATGTTCACTAACCCTTATTCTTCCTCCCTCTCTTAAGCAATGCTGTCCCTGTAATAAACCTAAATGAGGCAAGTGTAGACCACCCATAGTGAGGGGTTTCAACTCATGTGCCAGTGTTAGTTGGCTGACAGCAGCTGCCTGGAAAGCTCTGTTGAGAGAAAGTCAAGGCCGCATCCAGGAAAATGAAGCAAGACGATCACCCGCAATGCTGTGGCTGGTACTCATGCACAGTCCCTGCAATCACCGTGCCAAACAGATGCTGGCCATTTGCAGCTTCGCCCACTGCCCGGTGTCTTCAATGTTTATGAGCCACAAAGTGCTTTTCATAAACTGGGCTTGATCCTGCCTCCTGATCAGGTAGCACTCAAGCCTAGACGAAGGGAACCCAAGTGGGGAACTTTCTAAGTAAAATAAGTGGGTGATCATAATGGAATTGGATGGAGAAAACTCATGCTTCTGAATGGCCCCTGCCATGTGGTAACCAGTCTCTGGAGTTTTTTTTTTTTTTCTTTCTCCTCTATGCAGTTGTACAGTGTAAGTTGTAAAGATCAGCAAAGAGAAGCAGTGTTTCTCATCATCTCTTACTCTTTGGTTGACACGCTGGTGCATATTAAGATATAAATCACTTCTCCTCTTCTAACTTCCCCTTCCTATCCATCCTCAAACTGCGAAAATATATACCAAAGTTTTCATTTGAAGAAAAAAATGTGAGAGGACAATAGATACTTAACACTTTCCTTCAGAGGTATATGTGGGGAGGGACGGAATTAGCACCACAAACCTCTTCTGGGCATCACATTCGGGATCGGGTGATTATACCATAAATTATCAGGTAGTTGACTTACCTCAGGGGCAGTAGGACACAATAGCGTATCAGTACGCCTAGAACCCACACCATAGTGAGCTTGGGGCTGATGTACTGGAAGTTTATGTTGGTTCTTGTGAGGAGGTTCCATGACACTAGCTCCTCTGAGGAGAACCTCTGGGTCACTTCATCTTCCACAATAGCTTCAAATCCCTTCTTGGAGAAATAAAACACATCAGACAGCTCAAAGTCCCTTCCTCGCAGACCAGAGAGCCCTTTTTCCATGGGTGACTCATCTCTTTGGATAATACCTTAAAAAAAAAGCATGAGGACATGAGAAAATGCCATAGGACAGAAGAACAATGATTAAAGGGGCAACAACTTTCATGCATAGAATACAAGAAAACGAGCTTAATGGGTGGCATGAAGATTTCAGAACTAAGAGACCAGCAATTACAGTTGGAAGCAAGGAGAATCAGCGTCTGCACAAATGGCCTCTACCCAATGGTTTCAATTAATAATGGAAGAATTTTGATTCTCAAAACCCTCTTCTTGTATTTCCTCCCTATGTACTGTCAACAAAAGAACACACAAGAACAAAAACTCCCCAGATGTAGATGTAAAAATAAAGACTTCTGTTCTTCCCATCAAAATGACAACAGATATTTACCAAATATAGCAAAAGCTGATGCTTTTAATGTATAAAATTATTTAATGAGAAAACACAGGCTCCTATAGAAAAGTAAGCAAAGCATGACTGAATTCATAGAAGCAACAAAGATATATCAACTGGCTTACATACATTATCTACAAAACTTTTGTTTCATGATAAAGACCTATGACTGGAATGACACAGGTACTCTCATATTGTACTATACGCCTGTGGAACTAGGAGCAATGGGTTTCAAAACTGGTTTGACATGAAAAGACTAAAAGTAGTTTTGGGTGATGATCAGTAGTTCCAATTCTAGGAATCTGTCATAAGAAATCTGTTCAATGTAGCACTCAGCATTATAATAGACCCAGATAATGATAAATAATGCATTCATTTATAAAAACAGCAAGGCTAAGTGAAAACAGATGGGATTTTAAACTAGAATAACATGAAGGAGAAACTATTAAGTGGTTATCTTTGAGCAACAGGATTAGGTTTTCTTTTTGATCTGAAATTGTTTTTTCCATAAAGAAAATAATTCAAAGATTCTTAAAGCAGTATAAATATTTTTCAAATTGAAAAATGACTACTGCCCCCAGTTCTAATTATCAAATATGAGTAATAAATAAGAAGGTCTACAAATAATAAAGAGTAACTACTTACACAATACATAAGTTGGCAATCCATTTGTTCCTCTAAGGTGTATCATAAAGGAATTACTTCCTACATTAGGCAACAAAGAAAAATCTTTCCTTCTGAGGTGGAAAGAAGATCCCCTTGGGTTTTCTCACTTTCCAGTCTACCAGAAAATCAGAACCCCTGGAGAGTAAGAAGAGTGGTAATCTCTCCCTCTTTCTTTTTTTGTTTGGTTTTTTTTTTTGGAAGAAATGGCAGCATGATGCATTGGAGGAGAAAGGAAAGACAGCCTGATGTTAAAAGTCAAGGTTTCAAGTTCTGTTTAGGACAACCACCAGCATCGTGACAATAATAAAAGAGTGGGAAATATTTAGTTTCCTTACAGAGCTGACAGTTTGTGATTTCAAGTTCGAGTTTTGTTTTGTTGGGGAGGGGTTGGTTTTGGTGGGGTTTTTTTTGGTCCCACATGTAAAACTAATATCTGATCACCTTAAGAATTACAGAAATTAAGTAAGTTCTTGAATGGTCATTGGGTCATCTTTCTCAAGAGTCAGTTCTAAGTAGCTAAGCTTCTCTTCACCTTTAGTCAGTGTCAGAGGATGGATCAAGACAGTGTCCCTACTGAATTACTCTCCTACTCTATAGGCACTGCAATACCACGCAGAGCAGATTACTCAACCTCAGTATTAGGCAATATTTAGCAGTGCAAGAGTTTCACTATTTAGCAATACATAGGTTTGTTTTGGTTTTGTCTTTTTTTTTTTTTTACATCCAGATGGGGAGGAAGTGCAAGGTATTCAGCAAATCTCTGAATGAAATACACTAGGGACAGCAGACAGACTTTCTAAAAATACTCTCTTCCGAAGGGCCAAAGATAAGAAAGCAACTTTAAGTTGCTTCATACTCTGTAACCGAGCCAAGAGAGCAGAGATCTGTGACTAGAAACCAGCCCCACAGGCCACACACTTGATGTGCAATGTTTTTTCTGCCCTCTCACCTACTTTATTCTGTGCAACTCAAATAAAATGCAACTCGATTTTTATTTTAGTTAAGCATCTTTCAAACATATGTGGACAGGGGAGTGGGGATGTACCTCAATGGTAGAAATGCTTCCTAGCATGTACAATACCCTGGGTTTAATCCCCAACATGCAAAAAAAAAAAAAGTATGTAGATAACTACAATACATCTAACTGACAAAGGATGAGTTTCCAGAATATACTAAGACATACAAAAAATTAGGAGAGAAAAAACGTCAAAGAACTCAGTAAAAAAAAAAAGGCGAAGAATATGGCAGGCTAATCATAAAAGAATAAACCTTTATGTCTAAACATTTGAAATGATATTCAGCCTCACTATAATCAAGAGAAATAAATGCAAACAAAGCCACGAGGAGATTCTATTTCATACCAATAAGATCTCTGGTAAAATTTTTAAATCTGGTAATATCAAGTATTGGTGAAGATGTGCCACCTGAGGATGTAATTAGTACAAGCATACTGGAAAACAGTTGGGCACTGAGGAGAAAATTCAAAGAGACTCAGAGCCTGACTCAGCAGGTCCACTCCTAGGTATGTCTCATGGAAGATCTTTTTCAAATCAAATTTTATCAAATGTACAGAAATGTTACAGCAATAGTACCCTTCACCCAGAGTTACTAATCGCTTTCATTTTGCCACATGTCCTTTATTGCTCTGTGTCTATATGTGTAAAAAGATTTTTTTCTCAACTACTTAGAATAAATTGCAAACATCATTCTTTATCCCCAAATACTTCAGCAGATTTCCTCAGGACACAAAGATTCACTTAATCAACCACAGTAAAATTATCAAAATCAAGGAGGTTGGCATTAGTGCAACAGAAGTACCTAATGTACAGACCTTATTCAGATTTTGATAACTAGCTCAATAATATCCTTGAAATCATTTTTCTTGGTCTAGGATTCTACCCAGGCTCATACCTTACATTTACATGTCACGTTTTTCCGATTCCTTAAATATGGTAAGATTCTTTTGCCTCTCATGATGTTTTATTTATGAAACCATGTGGTGGGTGCACATGACATACCAAAAGCATGAAAATAAAAAGTTACATAGAACTAACAGTTGTTCCTATGACAAAATATCTATATTTGGTGCACAATATCTGAAAATGAGTACTATTATTAAATTAGGTGTCAAAAGAAGTACTACTAAGAACATAGTGCTGATTCCTTCCTGAGATATATTAACTATGGAAGGTCAAAATTACCAATCCAATTTATAGTAACATATGAACTATGACAGAAAAAAAATAATCAATACAATCAATATATATGAAACACTTACCATGTACCAAGCATCAAATTACAGGTTAGCAAGGAAAAGACAAAATATTTCTTTTGGCACCAAGTAACGTTCATTAGTAAAACAAAATTTACATATCAACTCGCATTTCCATTGGTCAAACACTGATGATTCCAGAAAATTTTTACTTTTTTTTCCCTAAATCAGTTTTAAAAAGTAAGACCATAAACATTTGAACTTTGCCCTTACACCAAATGATTTGGCCAAGCCAACACAGACTATGCTTGGATAAAAAGCAAATTAGAACTAGCTCTCTGTCTAATGTAAGAGATTAATTGCACAAGCTGCCCTGTGCCCCTGTGTCTTTAGCAAGCTGCTGGTATATAAATCATAGCAGATATGAAAGGCCTGTGGAAATGGAGGCAGAAGTGAAAACTATCTCAAACATAATTAACTCTAAATTAGCTGAGTGAACACTTGAAATAACTGGCCACTTATAAATCACACTAGTTTTTCCATTCTCCAGTTGTAGAGTAACCTTTCTAGATAAGCAGTTAGGAAATTCAGGCCTACTACAGAACAAACTAGGACATAGTGACTTTAATACAGAAGTAAACCCTTAACCATCAAAGTTCCAAATGTCAGCAGCTCAATGTTCAAAATATACTCTCACAGAAACCTTGTTTGAACTGGTCTATTGAGTAAGAACCCTACTCAAAAGCCTATCTCAAAAACACAGGTGAGCTAGGCGTCAGGTGTGGTGGTACACTTGGGAGGCTGAGGCAAGCAGATTCGAGTTCAGTGCCAGTCTAGGCTACATAGCAAAACCCTGTCTCCAAAAAAAGAACATAAGGAATCATATAGCAGTAACAGCATGAAATAGCAATCTCTCTTAACACTATTTCTATAAAAAACATTTAAATTAAATCTCCCAGTGACTGGAAAGAGACATCAGGGGAACATTCTAGGGAATTGATAATGTTCTATTTCTTGATTTAGATAAAAGATAAATGAGTAAGTTCACTGAACATTACATGAAGTTGTGCATTTATAATTTTAGTATCTTTTCTCTGCATGTCATTCTTCTACTCTCCTCCCCAATTACTAAACAACTGGACAGGGAGTTCACTTGCTCCACCACCCAACCCATAAATGTGGTTGATTTGACTAAAGAGACCTAGGTAGAACAGTTATAATGACTAACTGTATACCAGTGTTGAGAAGTGACATGGACCAGTCCCTATGGGATTCATGAACGGAAATATTCGGTGCCAAGGAAGAGGCTTGGCCAATGTTTAAGAATTACTTAGGCATAAAAAGATACCACTGATTTGTCTCATTCTCCAATTCATTAATTGTTACAGATATTAATATAGTAATTACTGTACCAACTACCCAGTCACATAACTGCACAGATCTCTAGTCTACCTTGTGCTGCCTTTTTTCACAATAATTTAGCTGTAACACTGCAAAGCTAAGCTCTAAACATATCATGTTCAAACCATTCCCTGGGCTATTGGTCAATTTACAATTTTCAGGACATAAGTTAGGCAGTTTGGCTATACTTATTTTACAGTGGCAACTTTGGGTTCCCAATTATCTCTTTATTCCTTCCTAAGTAATTTATTAAAAATCTATTTTATTGTTATTAATTTAGTTAAGGGTAATAATAGAATTAGGGTCATATTTTTTAAATGTCCATTACTTGGGATGCATCACAAAGAAAGTAAAAAGACATGACATCTAGGCTCACTTCCAGGAAAGGACATATTCACATTGTGTATTCACATAATTCACGTAAATTATACCTCACATTGAGATGAGAATATGGTATGGCTAAGTGCTTATTTGTATATTCTATAACTTACTTAAATACTGTATCTCTACTTAATATTTTTAGTTAAAAAAATACTTT